CGGACTGCCTCGAAGTGCTATCCACAAGCGGATATCCCGTCGTCTTCTCCTTCTCCTTCATTCCCTCCTCCTCCACCTCTTCCTCCTTCACCTCATTCATATCCACCAGCTTCGACTTCCCCTCCACCGCCACCCTCGGCGGCCTCGGCGGCGGGTAATCCAATGGCGCGCTCGTAAGATTCCCCAAATCTTCCGATCTCCCCATCACGAACATCCCCTGTTCCCTCGAAAAGCTCGAGTTCCCCATCTGAATGCTGAACAGCGAATCATTCGACGCTACACTCCAATCCTTCGGCGATGTCGTCGCCGTGTTCCTCGCAAATACCGACATCGGAATCCGGTTCGGATCCGGAACGTCGTACCTCGCCGGCGGTGGGGGTTTCCGGCTAACAAACTTCGCCGACACGCTGATTTCCTTATCAACGAAGACCGGCACCGTCGGTGGCTTCGTTGAGGTGCCACCGAGCTCAGTGGACTGCAGCTGGAAGAAATCATCCTCGTCGGAATCCGAGTCCGAAGAGGAGCTCGATTGTTCCCGCTCAGCATTGACATCAACATAATGGTGGTGAATAGCGTCGCCGAACGAAACGGCCGGTGTCGGAGCGACAGTCGACAGCTTTCCCGGCGAAGACGGATCGAAATCGCCTCCGTGTCTCTCCGGCGGGTGCTTCATTTTGCGGGCAGTAGAACGGAATCTTAGCTTTTGTACCGTGGGATGGAAACTATTTGCAAGTCCGGAGGTGTCGTACTGCCGCAAATAGCCTGAGTGTAATTCGGCCGATTGATCGGTGGATAACATTTTTAAGTGCGGTGACCGTTATGAATTTGAATTTTTTAGTTGAAATGTCCGTTGGAGTTTCCTTTTTTAATTGAATTTGTTAAGATTAGGTCTATCCGATAAACAGAAGCCAAATAGGTTAATCACGCTTATTGAGATAATAGAGCTCAGAGAGGTAAACATGAGTTTAAGAAATCAATTTGGAACGAGAAAAAGAGGTTTTCATTGGTCTCTCAATGAATCAATAGTAGAAGGCCTTCGCTACCGCTTGTAAGTGTGAATTTACGGTTTGTTTGGAACAATTGTAGTTTTTTATAAAGATGATTATAAAGTTATAGTGGAGAACAAACGTTTTTGAAAATTTTTGTTGAAAGCAACTTGCTAGCATAGTTTTTTTTTAAGCTACGAAAAAGCAGTGATCAAATAGAAACTATGGTTACCATATGAAAAACAAAACAATAAAAAAGTTGTGTCGAGAGCTAGGGCATCGCTCTAATGCTCCTATTCCTCTTCTCATTCTCGCAGCTGCGAGCAAACTTTTCCTTCTTTTGAAGCCATAGCCATTGAGCCTCTTCCTTCACCTTCCTCATTATTTCTTTCTCGCAAACAACAATCATTCTTTGTCTTTTTCTTATAGGATCAAAGGTTTGTCAAGATTCTTCCTCTTCTTCATTCTTTGACTGGAGATCGACGACAAGGAAACCTACTGTTCGTGTAAGCCTCTTAATTTTTCTCACATCTACTTTCTGCAATAATCTTGATTAAGGCTTAGATCAACTTGGATAATAAAGTTAGCATCTCGAACTGTGTGCATATAAATACTTATTTTCACCTCCAGTAGGACTTTCACTTGGTAGAGTTGAGCGAACCAAAATTGATTTGTGAATTGGTGCAAACTACTGTATGTAATTTTTATTTATTAAGGGATAAGAATACACTTTTTTGTTAGGAGCGTCATCCTTTTTGCTTGTGTTAGGTTCTGTGATATCATTAGTGTCCAATCTTGTTTTAAACTTTATTTTTTTATTTTGCATATGCCATAGATCTTATTATTGCTCATAATGAAGTATCATATAGTAGATGCAATCTCACCTTAATTTATTGATGCACAATTTCTTATATTTAATATGTTTCATGTTATAGCTAATTTTGATTTATACATCTTACTTTTATTACAATTATTAAGTGATACTCTTATTGTCAATAATATTGATTATGAAATTAAAAATTGTCATATTGATTTATAAAACATGTTGAAACTTACTTGTAAAAGCATATATATTGTATACTTATATGTAGGTGGGTAGAACCCTATTGGATGTAGACTAAATATATTGATAGGGCCTTTAGAGTAATGACTCTATAGGAAATTACTAGATTTCTTTAGGTTAGTGTCTACCTTTCTAGTGCAAGTTGTTTCATAAAATTGACTATATATATATATATATATATATATATATATATATATAGCAATGAATGACATATGGGTCATATAGAGATATGATGATATGAAACATGATTGTATGCGTATAAATCTAATTGATAGTACATGAGATACAAGTTGACATGCACATTTTCCACAATATCATAGTAAAATCGTTATAGGAATCATGACATGGATATTATTTCATTGATACATTGAATGTTGATTGTCACTCCTACCTATTTGATTGGTTAAATTGCATGTCTCATTCTTTTATCATTTATGCTTTAAAATATATGAGTTACTTGTTGAGTTTGAGTTATCAAAATCACTCATTATTAGCTCTTTTCATATCAAATCCTACCGTAGTGCTTAATGGATAATCACCAAAGGAGCAGATTTATTAGTAGTAGAGCATATTGGATATTTTTATATTTTGTAGTATATCATTACTTTTTTTTTTCTTTTGGGTTTAGATAGTTATCTTCTTGTTATTATTTTTATTACTTTATTTTGATTGGAGTATTCCTATTGTATTGATGTACTGTGATTTGAAATCATATGAATAAAATGAAAGTTTAATTTCTCTTCCATTATTTACTCTAATATATTTTGTTTTATTACTCATTTATGCACTTTTCTTCTTGTGAGTACAAAATAGGTCATTCTATCTCTCATCAAGTCCCATATTGTCGGGTGCACCACCTTCAAGACCTAAGCTGTGACAGAGTGGTATTAGAGCCCAATCTATTTTGTATTTAATATCTCTTAGTTCCTTTAGGATTGGGTAATCAGTTAGATTTTCTTAGGTTGTCTCTGATATTTAATACTATATTTTGGTATATTTGTTTATATAATTATGTGTCTTTCATGATTAGTTTCTTCCAACAACTGAATGAGATAGCTTCAAACATCCATTATATTTCTATTAGTTGAATTTGATGTAATATTAGGAATGGACTAGCTATCTAGATATCATGCATTGATATATTATCATAAGAGAAGAGTAAACTTTTATATACCATGCATGTGCAATAACTTATAATTTTAATTGTGTAAGAACATTATTGTTTTATCTTGTATCTATAATTAAATCTTGTAAGAAATTTTCTATGGGTGTATCTGGTATCTTGCTCATGTAGTGGATACCAACAAGCCAAATATTAGTTTAAACGGTGACCCGATAGTCTAAAAGAATGTGTAGATTTAGTTTCTGATGACTTGCCCCTTGATCATGAGATTGAGTTCACCATAGATATGGTTTTGAGTACCACTCAAATTTCTAAGGCGCCATATCATATGGCAACTAAAAGTGCTTATGACACAATAAGAGGGGGAGGAGAATTGGTGTTTGAAAAAAACTATTTAAATCTTTTAAAATTTTGTGCTCATATATAAAACTTGAAATAATGTGAAACCTATTAAGCAAAATGACACCGTACTTCTGCTAGACCACCGCCTAATGCCGAACTTCCGCCGGACCACCAACAGACTTCTACCGGACCACCGCCAGATGCTGGACTTTCGCCAGACCACTGCCTGACACTGGACTTTTGCCGGACCACCAACTAATACCCGGACTTCCACTAGACCACCAACTGATACCCTATCTTCCATCAGGCTTCTACCAGATATTGAACTCTTATCCGTCGTCGTATTGCAGTCTGACCATCATCCCTAGGTGGATGTTTGCTTGGTCATCAATTGTCGTTGGACTAACAACCAGCTACCTACGATCCTTCCAACCTCAGTCACTAGAATATGGACTTTCCAACCTCCATCACCCATTGACAATGGTCCTTTAGACCTCTATCTCCATATTACGGTCCCTCCGACCTTCGTTGTCAAATTATGATCTTTCCGACCTCCATCACCTGCAGACTATAGTCCTTTCGACCTCTATCGTCCGTCGACTACGATCCTTCCGGCCTCCGTCACTAATAACGGTCCTTCCGAACTTTATCTCCAGACTACAATCCCTCCGACCTCCATCCCCAGATTATGATATTTCAAACCTCCGTCACCTACCGACTATGGTCCTTCTGACCTCCGTCGCTCGTCAACTACGGTCCTTCTGACCTCCGTTACCATATAACTATCATTCCAACCTCTGTTTCCATACTACAATCCTTCCGACCTCCGTCGTCAGATTATGATCTTTTCGACCTCCGTCGCCCACCAACAACAATTCTTCTGATCTTTGTTACCAGATAGCAATCCTTCCAACCTCTGTCGTTCGCGGACTATAATCCCATCGACCACCATTACCCGACTACGATCTTTCTGACATCCGTCTTCTGCCGACTATGATCCTACCAAACAAGCAAACATGTCAATATTGATTATTATAATTCCCACCATGTAATGCACTCTATTTAACGTATATTTATTACATCAAGCCAAGACCTTCTCACAAAGAAAGGTCTCATTTATAATCAACTGCAAATATTAATAGATTCATTCAAACTAAGCCAAACCCCATAGTTTTTCCCATTTCAAGGTTTTCCACGTAAAAATCTCTGGTATTTCTTATGCATGCAACACCCTTACTTTTATTTGATTGTGTGATAGATCTTTGTACAAGGCCAAGTCATTAAACTTTATATTTCTCTACCGCCGCGATAATTCTAGGACTCAACAACTATAATAATGAATGAACTGCTATAATGCGGTTGAGGGCATAAAAATAGTCATCAATCAATAGAAACAATGTCCATATAACTCATAAGCTACAAACGGTCTCTCTCTCTCTCTCTCTCTCTACATATATATTATGTATAGACCAGCAGAGACTGAAACTTGAACAAAATATGTTTAATATACCATAAAGTCTGATAGGAGATAAGAGCAGGATTGTTATCACTGTGGTGGGAGGCTCAGAGATTGGATTTTGCGACGTATGAGGCTTTCTGCACGCGTACGCGATGCCACGAGGTGTTCAGAATTCCTCTCAGGTTCCATATGACATCTACATTCTCTGGTTGAACATTTGCAGCCGTGTCAACCTGTTCATGCCATGCAACAGTTCAAATCAAGGACTATTTACCATTATGATTTTCACTTGTTTTTTCATCTATATAAGCATGATGGAATGTTACAAAGATTGAAAATCATTTCAAATCTAAATAGACTTTGAGAGTAAGAATTTGTCTGTTATGACTAGATAATTGATTGAATGGGATTGATTTTTTGCTCGGATTGAGCTTGAATTGAAGTTAATGAGTCATGTTTGACTCTGCATGAGATTGGAACAGATGACTTTGAGCCGATCTATGTTGCACCGATACACCTATTTATGAAGGCGTGCTGTATCAGATATGTATCGAACACGGATACACATCTGATATGACACTGATACGTGTCGGATACGTCAAAGCCATATCAAATTAAAATACTATTTAATTTCAAAAGGACACGCCTATCCGATACGCGTGTCCGTTGAAAGACGAAAAAAAATCCGAAAAAAGACGCCATATTTACTTCCGCGGCTGCGATCAAGGTTCTCTCATCTTCGAACCCACGAGCCATTTACATTGATATTAGTTTACTAGAAAATAGGATATTATGGCATCAAATTATTTTGCATTTGTAATACTTTGATTTTGGTTTCATGTATTAAAAAAATCATGTTATTGTGGTTTGTATGTCTTCTTAAATGGAAAAAAAAAAAAAGAAGTTTAGCTATCATATGCTATTCAGTAAACATGCCACCAAATCATGCAACAACAAATTAGTGGAATTATGCCACAAAATTCTTATTAGGCAATGAGTTTTAACTCTTCCCTTGACTCGATACTTACTTTTATTTTGATATTATAAGCTACAATGCTACAAATGATGTTTTTTTTTTTTTTTTTTTGTCATTTCAAATATCATGCTTCGATTGTGTTCTTATTTTTTATGTATGATTTATAAATTATACTATCGTGTCCACGCTATACCCGTATCCTCTATTTTTTAAGAATTAACGTGGCTCGTATCCGTATCGTGGTATCCATGTGACCGTATCTGTATCAGTGCAACATAGGAGCCGATCTTGGGCTTAAGTTAGAACAGCTCAAGATTGGTCCATTAACATGGTTATCATGGAGATCAGCAATGAATCAACAAGCAATAATAAGAAGCTAATAAATGTATGTATGGCGGCTTTAGTTTGTTCATACCGCTTTCGCAATGATTTCGCCATTCTCTGGAGCATCGACGACGGCCTTGAATAAAACCCAAGCCCACTTTTCACTGCCGAGATCATCATCAGCAAAATAGGGCATATCCTTCTGATATCTCCCAGCTTCAATCCATTTCTTGCCGCCATCAACAGATATGTCCACTCGCTCAATACCGCGGCCACCACCGGACACCGCATATCCAGCAACAGTGATCTGCAAGGAAACAACACATGGAACAAGTTTAAGATTCATCTTATCATCCAAAGGGATTGTTTGATTTGGATTCAAATCATATTTTCTAAATTTGTACTAATTATATCTCTTTAACATGGTTTATATTAAGTAATTTTGTAATGAATTTCAAAAATAATGGAAGTAATTTCAACACATTTGATTGTAATTTTGGTTTGAAAAATTTCAAAAATAATGCTAAACATTTTCCGCATTTACAAGAAATCAAACATATGTTGAAATATACTACTAACCTTTCCTTGATTGATTAAATTGTCATCCTCCAATGAGCAAATAGCACACTGCAATGCCACAAACTTTTAAACATCAGAGGAATGGAATGTTAATATTACAAGACGCGCATACTAGTAAAAGAAGAATCCCTTCCAATACATTAATACATCATCATCATAACATATCTCACATGTCCATTCTTTCATTTAGAATACTAAAAGCCTAGAAAATATGTTAAAACCGTTTTGAGGAAGCCTTTTGCAGCTTCCTATTCATTAATGTGTGAAAATGGATTTATTATTCTGTGCGGAATCCGGATGGTGTCTGGAAACCAATAAAAATGTGCCACATCATTCCAAGATGTACCGCGCTCGGTACCGCTCGATACTGTGTGCATAACTAGACGAGAGAACCGTCCGGTCTCCGCACAAAATAATAGCTCGTGAAAATGTTCCTTGATTCTTCCCTCTGGGACCTGCAATACCCTCTCCACATGCATCTCCTCCTTAGACCCGCAATTTTCCACCTCGCCACCTCACACATTGCTAGCATCCTTTCTGCCACCTCGCTAATCTATATGCGCTACTAGGACGTAAAAAAAATATCTACAGGGCTGTCCTATTGTAATTAATTATATAGTTATTTTTTAAATCCTGGTTATATATATATTTTTTCATTAAAATGAAATACGCTCAACTATTCTCCCATTCTTATCAATAGGGAATGCATAAAACTATCTTATCAATAAATTTAACTGAAATGATAATGAGTAAAGGTCACAAATTTTCACATACTGGAATTGAAAATGATGGATGACTAATGGAAATTCAACTGGACCAAACTTCTTATGCTTTCTAATCACTTTCAACTGATTTTAGTCAACTGAGTGAACATATAGAATCTCTTTTTCTTTGACAATAAATTTCGTTGAAGATGCAGACCATTTGATTCCGGTCAAATGAACCCACCTGAACAGGGAAATCCATCTGTGATTTCCTGGTAGACCAATCGATGTTGTCCCAATCAACAGAAGGTGGAAACATTTTGTAATCCTTTTGCATGAAAAAACCCTGAGAAAAAGAAAACCAAGATTAACAAATAGCTTATCAAGTAGTAAGAAATAAAATAAATTAGTCAGACCTGGCATTCGTCTTTGATTATGTCAATTCTGTCCAACCATTTAACAGAGCGAGCACCAATGACACCAGGAACAATCACACGCAATGGAAATCCATGGTCACGATTGAGGACCTTTACAAAAAAGAAAATGATTGATCACAACTATTTTGTTCGATGGGTTGATAGTGAGAAAACAAGCTTTTCGTAAGTTAGTTACATGATGATATGTCATACACTGTGTTGCAGGTCATATCCATCAAGGCTTTGTTTGGGACGGCTTTCTTCTTGCTTTCTAAAACAGTTTTCTAGTACAAAAATTTTTTGAATTTGAAAATTTTATACTAGAAAGCCATTTTAAAAAGCAGTACGAAAGCTGTCCCAAACGAAGCCTAAGAGACAGAGGGAGAGAGAGAAAGAGAAAGAGAGAAAACAAAAATTTCAAATGCATGGCTTACAAAAGATAATTTCACGCAATTCATCTTGATTTGTTGGTTGACAGATTTCTATCAACCAAGAAGTCTTAGGCTCGTAGCTTGATATACCATGCATGTGTGAGTGTCTCTTAATTAGCTCAAAAGTCTAAAAAAACAAAAAAAAAAAACAATAAAAAGAAGATAATTTCTAACGAATAGTATATATTTAGTTTGTCTACCTTAATTGGCTCAAAAGTCTTAAAAATAAAAAAATAATAATAATTTCTAACGAATAGATCATATTTAGTTTGTCTACATCAGAGTAGCGTGTTAGGAGGAGAAAACTGCATCTATCTAGCGCAGTATAACTAAAGCTTCATTTGGATTCTAATTGTCAAGTGCTGCATTAAAAAAAATTAGCTAACGTCTATTTTGTGCTCGTTTAAATCACAATGATAATTATTATATCCCATAATTTTTACACTTGAAAGGAAGAAAGCACCAACACATCTTTCATACTTCACATTCTCAACATCATTGGCCCACCTTTTGGACGACCCAAAAAGACCTTAATGTCCCTCATAATTTATTATAATTATATAGGTGTTTAAACATAAAACACTCGTTCTACCAAAACCTTATCAAGGAAAGCAGTTCATAAAGTCACCTAATAGAGATCAATGAGCAAGAGTACAATAAAAGAGGTAAGTGGAAGGTAGCGAAGGAGCCACAGGTTGTAGAAGTGAATTGCATGCGCTAGGAAGGGATGAAAACTGTCAAGTGGAAGAATGCAAAGTCTACATGTGGAAAGGGGAAAGAGACTAACCAAAATCAATATTTTCATTTTTCAGGGAATAGAAATGTTGAGATTGGATGTATCCTAGAAGTTGAAGAATTAATAAATAGATCATTGATTCAACTTTTAATCTTGATTTTAATTTTCAACTTTTTTTGTACCAAGAAATCCTTTGTCTGATTTTGGGGCTTGCAAGATTTGAAATTTCATGCATTTTTTTTAATCCTTTCATGTAATTACATATCAATACAACAATATATAACCATGAAATCTTCAATGGATTTTTTATGCACATTTTGTTGGCCAATTATAGACAATTGATGTACTTATTATATAATACTTCCCTGGTTTTTAAAGTTGATCCATTGATTTATTAGTAAAAATTTAATATTATTGTTTAGGGGAATCTCAATTTTCGCACCTTTTACATCAGAAGATACAAATTGCTACAACCAAAGAGCATCAACAATTTTAGCCACATCAGCTTTTCATAACAACTTCAACAACTGCTTCTCACACAACTTTTTGGACCACTATTGAAGCCTTATGAAGTATTAACCAATTTAGAGAAAGATCGAGGTGGAGGAACCAAAGGGTTTGACAAGCCTAGGTTTCAAAAAAAGTCGGATTTCTTAGAGGGAATTCAATTTAGACCCAATTGATAAATTAAGGCTGAAATTGAGCCCACATCGTACTCGACTCACACTGGTTTGAGTCGGTTTGGGTCCTATTGTGTCCGATCAAGTTAATTTTGTGAAATTGAACTCGAATTGGCGTCGGATCGCGTCGAATTGGACTCGACGACGCTCGACGGGGTTTGATTTCATTTGATTCGATTTTAATTAATTTATATTTAATTTAATTTAATTAAATTTGGGTTTAATTTGAGTCGATTTTGCCTCGACAACGATCGATTGGGTTGATCGAGCGCGATCGAGCCTAGTTGGGCTCGATCGGGGTCGGGTCGATACGAAAATATGCGTCATTAGGAGGGGCCAATATGCATTCTTGGATGCCCCTTAATAGGATTCACATGGAAGTGTTCCCATGTTTTTTTGACTATTTCTAGACTTATAATTTTTCAATGAAATGCACAAGATCCAATATATATATACACACACACACACACACACACGAACACACTAAATTGGACTTCGATAAAGAACTACTCATTGTTTTAGATAGGGTTGTGTACAACTCTTCCTCAACTCATTTTAACTTTAAAAGGGACTAAGGGGTTGTTTGGTTTGAAATAAAAGGGCTGTAAAGTATTCCAATGCTAGGAGTTTAAGAAAATTGGTGCTTGATTTGAAGTAAAACAAATGCAGTGTAAAAGTTTAATACATAATCGCTGCCGACTGTCGCTGCTGCCATCGGCCACCACATTCGCAATCCGCTGTTGCCTGCCTCTGGTTAGTGCCGACCAACACTGCAGCCATGGGAAACTATTGCCGATCGCTGTCACCCCCTACAACCACCACCACCCACCATCGTTGACCACCAACCTCTTTGGATTTTACAATGCACTCATTTTACTTCAAACCAAATTAACAAAAAAAGTAATATCATGCATTTATTTTATATTTATCCAAACAACTTTAAATATTTCAAATATACCGCATTCTTTTTAAACTTATTCTAGTTTATTCTGCATTCCTTTTTCAGCAAACTAAACAACCTCTCGAGCATAGGAAAAAATCAAACCTTATTAAGGGTGATACAGAGAGAGAGAGAGAGACATGTGACTTATCTCGACTTATCTTATATGAAAATTTGTTTTTCCTTTCTTAATTTTGCACAATTCACGTGTTCTCCAGACATTTGAGTAATCTAACCAAAATATAAGGCAAAATTCTTTTCACCTGTAGGTTCAAAATTTTACAGGCCCCACGCAACTATTATAAACAAGGGAAATTTTATCCATCTTTATGAGAAATTCTTAAGTGGCAATAGTGAATCGCAGGTCTTACTGGAGAGAATACTTAATAAATCCCACCGAGACACAAAAACAAGTGTACTCATATATGATGAAAATTAGATTTAAGTAATCTCAAATAGTTATTGTCCATTTATGTGCATAAGGTAATGATGGGAAATGACATAAAATTAATATTTTAAAATTTATTTTACCATTGTTTTAATATTATAAATATTTTTCTACTCTATATGATCCCATTATTATAAAATTTTTAAGTCTATCTTAATTTATTTAAAAAGAGTATTCCAAAAGTAATTTAATAACTTTTTAATAATTTAACATTATGAAAGAAATTAAAATCAAAATCTAAATTGAATACCAAAAATATCAAAACTATTGAATCTAAACTAAGAAATTTTATAACCAAACCAAATATGGCTTTAATAGCCAAAATTTTAAAGCAGTTCCAAAATCAAAATGGCCAAAACCAAATATTATAGCTTGAAAAGGAGTCATGTAAGCTTAGAAAAGCATGATACTATTTTACAACATGACTTAGATAAAATTAAAAAGGAACTCAAGAAGAAATTTTCTATTCATGTTAATTTAAAAAGGCAAATGCTTTACTACAAGTAAATCTTGTGAAGAATGTTCAAGTTATTTAACATGTGTTTTAATAAAATGTCATCCGAAAGGCTGAGATAGGATTAACTTTACCTCACATTTTCTTACTTATTTATTATTGCATTTATTTGCATATGTGGCAAATACAAATGTTCACTATATTGAACATTCTACCACTATTTGAAATTCTGAAGTCAAATGTCGGCCAAATCTTGCATTATGCCATGTTATTACATATATTCATGAACTTAGTACAATCTTCGCTACCTAGATCAATCAAATCATATTCCTACTATCTTCTCGAATCACTTTGTCTCATCATATTTAGAGGAGAAAGAGCGTGGTGAACATTAATAGTAGTTAAGGAGAGGAAGAAAAAGAAAAGGCACTAGCACCACTGCCTCCCCAAACACAACCAACCTATCACTATCCCCAGGATGCTTAGACAGAGTATTTATCTCATTTAAAACTCAAACTGATACTTATATCAATTGATAGGATGAAAGGTGGTAGCAATAGCACTACAACGAAGATCATGCTTAGCTCCAAAAGTATTATCTCTATGAATGATTGTCGGTATCACCCACCTCATCCATATCAAAAAAAAAACCTTTACATCGCCAAGTGCAAGTATTTGGCTATTAAGAGTTTGCTTATTTGATCTAAAGAGAAAGATCATTGATCTCAAAAAAAGCTTTTGCTAAAGGTTGATAACCTAACAAGTTATACAAAGAGTTATTGGTCTCACAGTATACAGTGGTCTTACCTCGTCATTCGCCCAACTTAATGCGTGTCCACCATACTCCGAGCACAACAACAACATCAAGCCTTTATCCCGCTATGTGGGGTCGGCTACATAAATCCTTTTTCTCCATTGTGTCTGGTTAAGAGTCAAATTCTCATTTAGATCTAATAAAGAAAGGTCATTTCTAATATTTTATAACCAAGTCTTTTTAGGTCTACTTTTATCTCTCTTAACATAGACTAAATCAAATACATTTACTCTCCTAACCGGGTCATCAGAAGGCCGTCGTTTCATGTGACCAAACCATCAAAGGCGACTTTCTCTAATCTTATCATGATGTGGGAACCATTTCCTATTTAACCTACATCCGGGCGTCGATGCAATGGCCCTTACATACTTCTCACTGCATTCAGGCCATACAATGCGGTGTTTTTCAGGGAACGCCCTAACATTAACACAATGTATACTACGAGCACCTGAACTTACCATGCATGCTCATCCATCTCCATTAGACATTAGAGCCTTGGAATGAGCATTACACATTCTAGAAAAACTCTTACATTTTGTAAAATTCTATTTCTCTTCCTCATAACACTAAAATCTTTACTTCCTAGCAGTGGCGGAACCAGAAATTTTGTTCTGGGAAGACTAAATTAAAATAGTTATGTTTGTAGTCTTATTTGGAAGGTTAAAATATATTAAAATAGTTCTATTTGTCGTCTCTTTATCGGAGCCAAGAGGAGCTATAAGATCAAAATTAATAATGCAAATAGCATGGCCCTTAGAGCTTATAAGACAAACATTTGCCACAGGCGGTCTTTGTTTGAGGGGCAAGAGAGGAGCGAAAGAGAAAATGAAAGTGGTGCACGAGGTCGTAATTCGTAAGTCATGAGAGAGGAGTAAAGGGGAAAAAGAACCATTGATTATTTTCAAGTGTCAAGAAAAAATGTTGGTAGTTACTCTGGATTAATAACTTTAAAAGAAATAATTAAAAAAATTAAAGCAAGTTTTCTCATTTGCGAACTTGTTGCTCTATTAAGCCACTAAAATAATCAGTTTTAAGCCCCTTTAGGCTTTCGATTTTAGATTTAGCCAAATCTTTTGAGGAGATCTCTCATCCTAAGTCCTCCCCAGCAGCTCTTCGTCAAAATCTCTTTTCATCATTCCGTCCACAATGCAAAGTTCACAATGGAAAGTCTTTCTTCCCTCTCTCTTTCAATATTTTACCCTATTAGTCTTTCTCTCTCTATAGTTGAAGCATTGCATGGTTCAGGTAGAAGGTGGATTGAAAACTTGAAATGGAAAAAGCCTGTAATAAATAAAATGAAAGCTGACAAGGGGTTGTACCATAATGGATGCTTAAGTATGGAAGTGAATAGACGAGCTGAATATGCACAGTATGGATTTGGTTGGGTGCGTTGTCATGAGTGTGCGACTGCAGCATTTCCATTGCACAAAAAGAGTGAGGAAAAGAAAAAACCTTCACAGGAATTAATTAGATCATTAGCAGTGCAAAAATAATTAAATAATTGAGTGATAATTTAATATTTAATATTATTATTAGATAATGAATAATTAGTTAATGATAAAAGTTTTAATAACAACAACAACAACATCAAGCCTTTATCCCACTACGTGGGGAAAAGTTTTAATAAAATCATATTTAAATAGGTAAATATTTTAAATAATAATTAATTAAATAGCCCTAGAACTCTGCGTCAAAATCTCTTTTCATCATTCCGTCTACAATGGAAAGTCATTCCTCCCTCTCTTTTAATATTTTACCCCATCAATCTTTATCTCTCCACAAGTGAAGCATTACATGGTCCGAGTAGGTGGATTGAAGACTTGAAATGGAAAAAGCTTGTAATAAATAAAATGAAAGCTAATAAGGGGCCTTTTTTTTTTTTGGGGGGGGGGGGTTTTGGGGGGGGGGGGAGAACGTGCCCCCTTGCTCCCCCTCCCTCCATCCATGCTTCCTAGAGTGTACATTTATTTTACAACCACTCTATATAATGTGCAAAAGGAGAAACCTACAAAACTCAACCAAATAAAAACCTTATATTATAAAAAATTTCAGAATTTCTCATCTTTTTGTTCTCATTCTCTATTAGTGTCACTCCCATGGTTGGTTGAGACATAAAATCTAGCTTTCTCGACCTTTTAATTCTTGAGCTACCTCGTCTCCTTTCATTCAGCTCAAACCTATTCTCTCGCTCTCGAACGCCATCTTCTTTCTTCCTTCTATCCCTTACAAGAAGTAGCTCAGCTTGATAACTCTATTTCTCGACCTCTAATCCACGTGCCCTCCTCCACCAACCCTTAAAATGAGAACAAGCCTTCATATTTTGTTATTCTCATTAAGACTGCCAAGCTCGAAGGAAGATTAGCAGGGGGGAAACACTAGATGGAATCCTCGATTATTCCTCTTCATCAACGACAAACCCATTTAGTGGACACATGATAGGAAACACTTGTAAATCTTCTGAAAAATAGCGAAAATAGTGATTGGACTGCTGTCCACAGCAGGAAAACACAGCAAAACTGCTGTTTACAGCAGTTTACAGCAGAATTTAAGAGGAAATTGGAAAGAAAATGATAGGAAACACTTGTAGATCTTCTGAAAAATAGCGAAAATAGTGATTGGACTGCTGTCCACAGCAGAAAAACACAGCAAAACTGCTGTTTACAGCAGTTTACAGCAGAATTTAAGAGGAAATTGGAAAGAAAACTCAAAGCAAGATTTGTATTCCACTAGTAGAAGAAGAAAACAGCAAAGATACAATTGATCCTCAATTCGAGAGGAGGATCGATCTCTCCCAAATCTCTAGACGCCGCTAGAGCCCAAAGAAAACCTAAATCTAAGAGATCTCAAATTTCAGCCAAATTCAAGATGATCAAACCCCAAGAAAACCAACTATTTAATGCATACAAATCAAAAGGAAATCCCTAAAAAGTCCCTACATTCAAATTTCGACTGCTGTCCACAGCAGGAAAACACAGCAAAACTGCTGTAAACAGCAGAATTTAAGTGGAAATTGGAAAGAAAACTCAAAACAAGATTTGTATTCCACTAGTAGAAGAAGAAAACAACAAAGATACAATTGATCCTCAATTCGAGAGGAGGATCGATCTCTCCCAAATCTCTAGACGCCGCTAGAGCCAAAGAAAACCTAAATCTAAGAGATCTCAAATTTCAGCCAAATTCAAGATCCTCAAACCCTAGGAAAAACATCTATTTAATGCATACAAATCAAAAGGAATTCCCTAAACAGTCCCTACATTCAAATTTCTCTCTGAAATCCCCCAAAAATCCTTCCTAAAACGCTCTGTTTGAGCGGTCGGGCCGCTCGTTCTCCGCCAGGAGGCGGAATCTCCGCTGTTTTGCGATTTCCGCCCGTGAACTGGTCCCGCCTGGACCGGCTGGACCGGTCCAGTGGACCGGTCTAACACCACACCAAGAAGTAGTTGCATTGATGAAGGAAGAGTACCAACAACTTTGAACAAACCTTCATCATTCAAGAGATGCTTAAATACTAAATCACCCTCTCCGAGGTGAAGCTGCAGATGAAGTCAAGTACTTGTACTCATCATTCTATAGGCTTGAAGGAGCCACCCTGCTAATTCAACAGCCCATATTTCTCTAGAGATGATGGTCAAATTCTCCCTAATGGTGACCTCACAGAACACACGGACACACCCATTGCTTTTCTCATCTCCTGCTAACCTTTCACCATCTTCCTCTAACACTCTCTTGCCAACTCAACATGGGAGACCGACCAAACTCTTTCTTTCTGATAACTGCCAACCTATTGAGACATCATCTTCCCAAGACCTGCTTAATAGCCAAAATGCTGGCTTGAATCCACATGACAACCACTCCCACTAGTGTTTAACATACCAGCTTTTTCCTCGAAGTCCTCTACTGCAACCATCGGTATAGTTTTGATGCATTCCGACATCATTTCAAGGAATATTTTGCTTTCCACATTCAATTTCAATAAGCTTTCTTTTTCACTGGGAATTTTTATTAGTCTCAGAGGTTAGCATAACATACAGCTTTCCCAACCTTCAATGGAATGCCACATCAGCAGATAAGGAGGCAAATAATCTGATTAGGCATCACCCTAGTTGACCAATGGCATGCCACATCAACACATAAGGAAGAAAGCAATTTAATCGGGTAGCACCCTAGTCGACTAGGTTTTCTCAAAGCCTCACCAGATTCAAGGAAGCTTTTGCTTTCCACATTCAATCTGTATAAGCATTATTTTTCATTAGGCACTTTGGCCACAGCCTAAGAGGTTGGCATGCCCTCCCCTTGCCCCCCAAACAATCAATCCGGGCTTACCTTCTTAGCTTACCCAATTCACCCAATGATTTTCATCGACAATTAATCTTTTTTATTTTTTGTTACATGTAATTTCCTAACTTCTCCAGCCAACTGCGTTGACACTAGACGATTTATTAATATTGTTAAAATAGAAGAGATACGTTACCAATATTGAATGAAAAACTGCAGAATCAAGGAGAAGAAGCACCCGATTCAGACAAAAACGTGACTTCAAGAAATAGATTCTTATTTACATTACTATAGTGATCTTATATACACATTAGTGATGAAGTCACACTTAACAATCTTGAAAGAAAATAATCAACTAAATTTCTCTCCATAACATATATTCCAATTTCACTGAAAATTCAGTTTCCAAAAAAAAGAGGTTTTATTAAATAAAACACAAGTACCTCTCCATTCATTTCATATGCAAGTAAAACATCAGCTTCAGGATTTGTTGCTTGTCGTAATGGAATTGATGCCTTGTAAGGGCCGCCTTTCTCTTCCTAGTAAAAAATAGAAAAAGAATAAAAAAAATGTTAGAATAGAGTTTAACAACAATATCATTTCCTTTAGTAGAAAAGTAAAAAATGGAGGCTTTAAATTAGCAACTAAAGTAAAATATACTCACTTTACACTTGTCAACGCTTATGAATTCTACATGTCTCCCACCTAATGATGAGTTGGAAGATAACTTGGGTATACCAACAATCTCAAGTACATCTGATAATTTTGCTCCTCCCCAAGTTGCTGTATATAAAAATCAGTAAATTTGTGAGGACATGTGAAGAAAAAAGAATAAATAAAAAAATGCTCATCTCCTAACTCCCACATATTACAAGAAATGCATAATATAAACCTAAGATCTCAATGTAGAAGTTATAAAAAATGAAGAAGGTAATTCTTTTATAATATAAATATAACCTGGTGTCGTAGTGTAATCCATGAAAAATACATCAACAGAGATGGCACCCGACCTTCTTAATTCAAAAATTTATTGCTGACAGCTTATCCTATGTTTCATACACATGATTGCAGCTGAACTATGAATCCCATTAACCTTAGTTACGAATCAGCATATTTAATAAATTTCTATCCTGCTTGCTGATACAATTTTTCACAGTCACACCTATTCTGTGCTTTCATAATGGTTACTTATCTTATCATGATTAGCATGCAAGTGATTCTAGGAAAAGTTTGATTATTATACATTATACAGTAGTAGTTATATATGCTATTGTAGACATATAAAAAACTATTTAGAATTTTAAGTTCATCAACACACGATCTTCAACACTTCCCTCAAATTGAATGGTATAGAGCTACCATTCTAAGTTTGGAAACAATATTTTTTAACATTGGCTTGCTTAGTTTTTAGTGAATATGTTGGCGAGTTGACTCCTTGTTGGAACATATGAGTGCAGAATAACCTGCTTTCCAATTTCACTTTTATAAAATGTATACTCAACTTCACAAGTTTGATTTGATCATATTGTATTGGATTATGAGCAATGCTAATGACAGATTTATGGTCATGGTATATTGTTATGTGCTCTTCATGCCAAATTTTTAAGTTCTTAGATAATTTTGATCAACATGAGCATCTAATATCTTGGGAAATTACTCTAAATTTAGATTGAATGCTAAATCTTCAAAAAATAAGTTGTTTCTTACTTCTACATGTTATGAGATTCCATTCTAAAAGTAAATAATATCTTTAAAAGGACTTGTTGTAGACTGGTGATCATGTATAGTCTGCATCAGTATATTGTTCAACTTATAAAATACCTTGCTTCTTATAGAGAATAAGGAAACCCAAATTCTTTAGCAAATATTTTTGTCTAAGAGACTCATTTTCTATATTTTCATCATCTATAGCAGTTATAACATTCTATATAACATCAACATATATAATGAGGTTCGAAATATTTCCATGGATGGAGTATTATAATGAAGAGTACATGATCTTCTTGGTTTTGTTTATATTCAACTTTAATCTTGGCTTTCATAAATCTGTCAAACTATACTCTTGGAGATTATTTAAGTCCATATAAAACCTTCTTTAATTTACACAACTTACTAACTATGCCAATCATTACCAAATTCTAGCCATAGATACATATAAACTTCTTCAACATCTCTGGACAAAAAAGCATTTTTATATCATACAAGATTAAAATATGAATTACATTCATATTTGAAACATGATCAAAGGTTTCTTGATAGTTGATTCCATAGAATTAGACTTGATATTTGTAAGGAATCCCTTATGTGTTGGGAAATTTTAAAAAAAAAATGGGCATTGAGAGAAGGGATATGATGTAGTAGTCATGGATAAATTATTGTTACTTAATAATAGTTTCAGGTTTTGAACTTGTTGGAGATTCTGGTTGGGTTTATTCCTTCCTGCATAAACCTGATGAGAAATTTGCTTGGATTTGTCACGTTGCAGTTATATTCTTTAATGATTCTATGGATTGATAAAAAAATTATTGCAAGATGGTGAATATGAAGGTAGCGAGAATAAATGTGGGAGAATTTAAAATATTTTTTTCGACCTGCAACATTAATTAACAAACCATCAGCTACTTTTATTTTCTTGATATTAGTGCAAAATCTGTAGGTTTGAAAGAGGTTGACAAATTTGTCATGTGATTAGTGGATCCTGAATCTAGGATCTAGATTTGAGGGCATTGAGGCACTAAAAATATGAGTTAAAAGTCATATCATTTTGAACTAGACAACATGATCTGAATGGCTTTTTAAGTAGTTGAGAAAGTTCCTTAATTTGTTAATCTCTTATGATTGAGCCCTACTGATTCCATAAGACAGGTCTATAACTTTTGGTATCCTTTATTTCCCAAATAGCCTTAGGGTTTTCTATGGAGTTTTTAACATTTTTTTAATGTGTTATTTCTTCTTACCGTAGTTGCACCATGTATTTCCTTTGAGAGAGAGCTTTTGTCCATATTCAAGAGAAAAATCTGTGGCAGAAAATTTTGTACCTTGGGGTTCATTGGCAATTATGGCAAATATTTTGGAAAGTGGATTGTCGAGCATTATCATCATTCTTCCTTCTTCGGCCCGTATAACAGAGAAAATCTCATTTAGCCATGGAAGATTTTCTCTGCTTAAAATTTGAATATGAACTTGGTTGAAAACATCTCAAACACACACTCTCCCTCTCTCTCTTAATAAAATGCTTGAGAATTATAGCATCATCACAACACATCATCTTAAAATCTTGATAATGATCCAGCTCAAGAAAATAAACTTTTATTGCATTAAAGGATTCAATGGCATTAAGGTTACCTTGCTTGGTAGTTGAGATCTTCAACAAGAGTTTAAAGAAAATAATCAAAAGAAATATACCCCTAGGATAAGATAATGAATTTAAAATGTGAAATATTATTTGACCTTTGGAGATAGATTTCTAAAATAGGCAAATAAAAACTCTTTAGTTAAGCTACACATAATGTGCAATAAAATGATAAGTTCAATTAAGAAATTGTTCTATAAATCTTTGCAAATTATAAAAATAAATCATATATCGATAAGGAGCTTTTGTGATATAATGAGATATAAATGATTATTAGGAGAAAGAAATGCGTGTTTAAAGAGTAGCTAAAATCGAATACTATTAAGACCTATAATGCTTATAAGAAAGCCAGACCCTTAAAAATAGTGTAGCAAACAAAGCAAAAAAACAATAACTTTTAATGATTTATATAATATGTTTTATGCTTAAGAAGAAAAAAAATGAGATATTTAAACTATTTATTGCAAGAGTACAAAATATTAAACTTTGATTAAGTTCGATGCTTCGAAAGTGAAGGTAAAAAAGCCTTATTTAGAGAGGAAAATATCAAGAAAAAATGGAAAAGCTATAATGAGAAAGTATTAAATATAAGTTTTAATAAATATATTATTTTTAAAGAATATAATGACCAAAATAGTGAGGTTTATTATAGACTGATTAAAAAAAGTATAATGAAGTAAACTCTAAAGAAGATGCAAGATTGTAAAGTTTTAGGCTTAGATAAAATACTTGTCGAGATTTAGACAATTATAATGAATATTACACAGGTTTAGCTAAAGGATTTTTTAATTGAATTTTAAAAACTTGAAAAATGTTAAATGCCCAAAGAATACATGTTTTAGTACTAATATTAAAAAACAAAAGAAACGATCAATTTTGCTAACTATAGATGAATCAAACTTATAAGCCATGTTATGAAGCTGTAAGAAAGAAATGAAACATAAACTGAAAAAAAACTTATGTCAATTCCAAATAATGAATTTGGTTTCAAGCTAAGATCTATTATAAAAAAAAATTGTTTTTTCAAAACAACTAATAGAAAAGTATAGATGACAGTAAGAATCTATAATTTTTATTGATCTAGAGAAGTCATTATCGAGTAAAATGACAATTGAATTTGAGAAGTCATGATTGAGTATAATGATAATTGATTTGGTGCACATTAATGATTTAAAGTGTGTGTCAAAGGAATATTTAAGTTATTAAATATATGCATGATAAAGTACTAACTAGCATTAGAACTTTAGAAGTATTTGTGGAGTGATTAAAGATTTTCAATTATAATAGTACCATATCAAGCATAAACATAAAGCTCGTATCAATCTATCTTGGTAATGAAGTGCTTATAAAGTATATTCAAAATGAAATGTCTTGATGCCTGCTATTTCAAAATGGCATTGTTTTGGTCGATGAAACATATGCAAAAATTTGTGAAAACCTAAAATAATGGAAAAAATATTTAAAGATAGAGGGATTCTAAGTTGTAAAATAAAGACTAAGTACATGATATGCAATTTTAGTGTGTAGAATATTAACAATTATCAATTTATATATTATTAGAAGATAAAATGATATCTTAATGAAATAAGTTTAAGCATCTTAGATTTATTATATAGAAGAATAGGAATATAGATGAGGATATTTTTTAGAGTTAAGGTTGAGTAGTTAAAAAGGAGAAGTGCCTTAGGAAGATTATGTGATAAAAGAATATCAAGGAGATTTAAAGATAAATTTTATAAAACTATAACTAGATCGACGATGTTGCATTAAACCGAGTGTTGGGTTGTTAAAAACTCAAAATGAGAATGTTAGGGTTTGAATAAAATAATTTTAGATGAGCAGCTTAAGTGACATCTACCATAGTTAAGATAATTAAAAATAAACTTAAGTTATTTGGACATGTTTAATAAAGATAAAAAAAGCATCCATCAAACTAAGTAAATTAATTAGAATTAAAAAAAAAAAGACAAAGAAGAAAGGGTATATCTAAAATAACATGAATAGAAATTGTTCATCATAATTTACGAAAAATAAGTTTATCACTCGGAGGGACATTCAACTCCAATGAATGGAAAATAAAGATTGATAAACCCAACTTCAAATAGTTGGAATGAGAATGATAATGATGCCTATGATGATAGCAAAAAAAGATATAGGTTTAAAGTTGATCTGTGATGTAATCCACTGAAATAGAAAAAAACTTGATCAAATCACTTTATGTTTGAACAAAGTAATATGTTATATATATATATATATATATATATATATATATATATATAATGACTTCTAATGACTTCTAAAATTCTCTTATGAGAAGTGGGTGGGTTCAGCAAACATAAAATTGTATCAGCCTCCAAGATCTTTAAAAAGTGTTAAACCAATCTTGGTACATTCGTGAAAATAAAGATACCATTTCCAAGAGCAGCAATATCCCAGCCAACACCTTTCACTGTCCGCATTTTACTCATTGCAGTTCTTCTATTACCTGCACACTGAATCACTTATAACAAATCAATATAATAGAATCGAATCATATTCCGAACAATGATTTTGTTAGCCAATAGACCATGTAGATTCAGGACAAGCGAGTTCGAAAGATACTTGTAAAGTGGCAGTGATGTTGTATTTTGGAAGTTTCCTGGAAATTAATGACTTCATGTTAATGCAAACTTTAGAAGGTACATATTCAATGTTATAACTATGCACACCTGAGTTCATCCATAGAAAGCTCTATAGATTTTTCCACCAAACCTCCAATAGAAACACGATATCTGTTATGGCAATAAAACAAAATTAACTAACTGTAGAAAAAATCCATGAGGGAAGAATATTTATCAGGTTATTAATACCTTTCGAGATCATCAACAATTGGAATAGGTCCATGATTTCTCTTGTAGAAAAAATCCACAGAAGTAACATATGATGAAATTAAAGCTGCACGAGGAGGTTCAGCATTGAATGGATCCTGCATCAAACTCAAGACACTGTACTATAAGGTAACTTTGGAATAATTTTGTTTCAAAACTTAAAAAATTGTGGTCTATTGTAACAACTATAATACGTCAGAAGCAAATGGCGCTCGGCAACACTTTCTTCGGAAAACAAAATGCCAAAGTTCCATACTAACTTCCAACTATAACATATTTCGCAATCAAAAAATGCTAGATGTGCAGATTGGTTGGTCAGGTTGAATCATCATTGCTCGAAACACTTCCCACACATCAACCCAAGATAAGGGAAAATCACTGGTAGGATAGCAACCCAAATTCATATCTGATTAATAATTAGAAACATGAATCTGTACCAGAATCCAATTGGATAATTAAGAAATAAATATCATACCCTCTTTATTGAGGGTAGCAGAGACCAATTGTATGTCCAATACCTTATAATATAGCTTGATAACTAAGAAATAGAAATTTTTTAGATAAGAAAATCCATATGTACATATAAATTGTGTACTAGTACATGCCCATGAAAGTGTTTCACAAGTACCTAGCAAGTTCGAGCAAAAGAAATCGGCAAGAGCGCATTGCCCACCAAAGATACTCGCCAGCATGGAGCATTAATCGTAGTAGTCGAATGGATTGAGGAGTTTCCCTAAGCATGCGCACCAAGAGACTTGTACAAATTCATCCAAACCCTCAGGAATCACTTACCTAGGTAGAAATTGATGTCCCGAAGTCACATTCATCTAGGCCACCAAACTACCATTATCATCCTCATATTCAGTTACAAGAAGAGCACGCCTCAAAGGTCAATGATTACGACCCTCCAAACTTGGTCAATCCTCAATTTGCGACCATTGTCGCTCGGTGAAACTCATGCCTCCCACTTAGAGGCTAACACACCACCCTTGAGGACTCATCGTTGCATCTGGGAGACTCACCCACACAAACTCATCCTACATATAACATATTGAAAACTCGCCCAGTACACTCTCCCATGAAGACTAGCCAAGGAGACTCGCTTTAGAATAGAGGTCTTCAAAGGTAAAGGGCCACTTCAAAGGTAGAGAGCATGTGGAAGTCTACAAATAGAGCCTCATGTCAAATACAATCTATAATGAATCATAATGAGCATTATACTTTTTTATTTTTTTGGTGCAGCCTTTCTTACAGTTCTCTAAATCCTATAAATAAAGGATGAAAAGGGACATTTTGGATCTTTCGGATATTTTCTAATATTTTAGCATACTTTGGACTTTTATCACTCTCTCACTCTCCGTACTCATCTAAACCTCTCTCAATTCTCTAATTCTTTCCTAAGAGATTGCTTGCTAATAAAGTTGGGTATCATCTATGGACAAATTCGGATCCAACACAAGCAATATCTTTTAAAAAAATTGCACCAATAATACATAATGAAGTATAATAAGTAAATAAATTGAAATCTATCATTGATTTAGGATTCTAGATATTCTATACTTATGATCATCTAACTTTGTATTTACAAATATTATATTTTAGACTATTCTATAAATTTTACATGTAACTTTAGAGAATGAAGTTTGAAAGATTAGATAAAAATATGTTTGGGATAGTTTGGGAATGACCAAAGTGCATTGTACAATATTTCAATATGAAAGATAACAATATGATGCCTATAAAAGTCATACAAGGAATGCCTTTGATCAATATGGCCCTATGAGGTCCAGTAAATTGCATAATTACAGTGTTGCAAAGCATGTTGTAATTAGTCATTGAGCATATAAGAGGCATAAAAGCTAAATGCAACCTTAGAGGAATAGAAAGATGTATCAAAAAATAAACCTTAGGATTCACATTGAATTGGGTAAATCATTGATGCATGGTATGGAGTATCAACCTGAATGAATAACTTAGGCAAGCTCGAGATGATCAATTTAGCTTAGCCGATCAAGGATGTTCCCCAGTTCAAAACTAGGCTATGCAATTTGCCAACTGGAGCTGTAAAAGTCCTCTTGTCCATATAGCTAAGGTTGATGAAGGAAACAATTGCCATGTCTCCTACTACCATTGAATGCTCTAGGAGGTGACAATAACTTGGTAGATGGCACAATCACACAAGAATCGAGTTGAGATAATCCCATATTTCCCCTATTCCTATGATGAAGATTAATTTTGTATATTGATGCAAAATGATGGGTCAGGATAGTTAAGGTGGTGGTTTGCTATCCTAACCATCTCTCAATCAAGGTGAGGACTAGAAAGCCTATCTCGATTATGGTGAAAAGATAATAGTTGTGATTATCTTTTAGGCTAGCAAATGTTTGTAATCATCAGCATTAGGCAATGACAAAATGAAAACATCTTATTATAGGTCCATTGCCAAACTAAGAGGGGTGAGGGGAGGGGGGAGGGGTGAATTAGTCATTTAAAAAATTAAAAGAACTTTATAAATATTTATGCCAAAGATGAGCACACAAAGAAAAGTAACTTCCCGGAAACGTTACAAGTTTGTTGCAACTTATAGGTTGGCCAAGTTCATTTGTCCAACTTGAAAGTGAACTTGACCGCTTCCAGTGCACCCAAACTTATTCTGCCAACTTCAACAAGCCAAGTTCATAATGATCTTAGCAACCCCAATATGGCTTATCCCAACCAATAGCATCAAAAAGTTCATGAAAATTCATAGAAATTCTTAAAATAAAAATAAGAATCACGGAGGGTCTAAAGTAATTTAAATAAAGAAAATTGTACAAAACTAATAGGTTCCTTATCAAAGACAACTAGTCTGATGACCATGTTCAATCGGTAGAATAGGGGAGAACTTGATTGAATATGAAAATAGTCTAAAATTAAAAAAAAAAATCCCTAAAATAATAGAATGAACTTATAAGGGATTTAAAGTAGTTTCAAAATCCTAATTTGGCACATGAATAAGGCTAATAAATATAAATAAAAGTATAAAACCATTGAAGCTTGATCTTCAATCTTAGGCATCACACTCTACCATTTAACTTTTTTTTAATCATGGAAAGCAAACCATTTTCAGCATCACTATCATTTTAATGATTAAAAATTAAGTTTGAGCTTTTCACTTAAGAGGAGTAGTGAGATGCCGCCCTTCCTTCAAGAAACTCTTGAGGTAGTTGTAGGCACACCAGGCATAATTTATAATAATCGAGATCAACATGCACAGCGTCCAGCTTTTCTTGTGGTTAGGAGAGAATTGAGAAAACTGAATTGAGATGGAAAGTGTGATAGCTTGGTTCTTGACAGAATCAGTGAGGGCTTTAAGAATATAACCTTAAAAATTTTTTGAAACTCACAAAATAGAACAATTAGTGATGTCAGAGTTGGGGCAAATACAATACTCCACGGCCTGAAGAAGCAATTATCTCCAGTAAACCCTTTTTCTTCATCTAGCCAATGCAATAAATTTACTAAGATAAGCCAAATAAAAGAATGCTAGAATAATCAGCAGAAACTAGCATTTCTCGGTTCCAAATCCTATCAGAAACTTATTGAGGCAGACTCCATATATATCTAAAACAATCTCAAAACTCCAATTTGATGACTGAGTTAGCCCTAGAATCATCAGTAGGGTGACTTAGTCTGCAAATCAAAAGTCATCAGACATCAAGAAGATGGCAACAGCGACACAATTGACAGGTTTTTAATTCGTATTGACTTTTATCATTTTCACATAATCCTATAAAAAAAATCATGGCTGGAATTCAAATCCGCCAACAAAAGGCGGAGAACAAAAGAAGATGGCGATGGAACAAATAGCGTTAGTTAGATTTAGATTACCTTGGAATTAATTTTGAGGGATGGGTGGCGCGGCGGCTCGTGCGAATAATCGGAGGGTGCCTTCAGGCCTGGCATTCTTTGCCTTTCCTCGGTGAGTCACTGCCAAACTTCTATTTGACCTAACCAGTTAACATTGTCAGATGCATTGTGGCATCGAGTTGTGATTAGAAATTTTGTCGGCATAGCAATGGGTGGGAAATTATTCTGTGCCCAGTTCTAATGTAGAGAATCTTGTAAGTTTTGACTACCATCTTCATATTTATGGTGTATATACTATTGATATGTTATCAAAAATTATCTTGATCGGACACGAATCTTGAGGCATAATCAAGCTGGAAACTTCGGAAATTAATTCAGATACCATCCAAACTCCAATTTCAGCAAACTTATAATCGAACTGAGCATGTCGGAAAGACGAGCCCAATGACACTAAATTCGACTCAATCTGAGCCCAAACGAGTCCAAATCAAAGACCCAAAGCGCAATCTAAAGGTTTAGAGCATAATTTGGATTATCAAACGGTTTTCAAATATGGCATGCTTATAGTCGAATCGAGCGGCTCGACGAGACGAATCCAACGAGCCCAAGATCATTTAATTCTGAAATCGTTAAGGCATCCAATTGGCCAATAAACGGTCCATGATCAAGGGGGTCGATATTAGCCGTCCCTTCAAATCACTCACATTTTACCCTTGATCCTCCATATATTTACATGTCATGCCACTCTAAAAAACTTTAAATAGCCCCCACTCTTCTCATGACGGGAAGAGGAAGAAGAAGAGAAGGAAGGGAGGAATTTGGGAGCTCTCTTGCCACCGACCACCGCCGGAGTTCATGCCGACCACCGCCGGAGTTCATGCCAACCACCGCCGGAGTTCATGCCGACCACTGCCAGAGTTCTTCCCAACCACCGCCGGAGTTCATCCGAACCACCGTAGGAGTTCTTCCCAACCACCGCCGGAGTTCCTCCTGACCACCGCCGGAGTTCCTCCCGACCACCGCCGGAGTTCATCCAAACCGCCACCGGACTTCCCCTAATTTGCCGACGGCCGGCAGACTTCTACCAGTTCGTCGACCACTGTTGGACTTCTGTCAGTCCGTTGACCGCCATCGGACTTCCACCAATTCTCCAACCGCTGTCGGACTTCTAGCAGTTTGCCGACTATCGTCGAACTTTTGCTCGTCCGTCGATCATCACTGGAATTCTTCCTGACCGCATCCAAAGTTCTTTCTGGGCATCGATGAGCAACCTCCAATCCGCAGAACACCGCAGGACTTCCGCCAGTCCGCCAACTATGGTCCTCCCAACCACCGTCATCTAACTACGGTCATTCCGACCTCCGTCACCCGCCGACTATGGTTCTGCCGCTCCAAACAAACATGTCAACATTGATTCTTCCAACTCCCACCGTGTAATATACAATGAATGATGCATATTTGTCACATCAAGTCATGACCTTCCTCTTAAGGAAGGGCCTCATTTGTAATGGACTGCAAGCACTAGTGGATTCATTCAAATTGGGCTAGGCCCCGTGGTTTTCCCCCCTTTTCAGGGTTTCCACGTAAAAATTTTGGTGTCTCTTATAAATGCTACACACTCTCCTTTCATCTGTTTGTGTGCTGGATCTTCGTACAACACTAAGACATTAAACTTTATCACTCTCTACCGCCGCAAATTTTCCAGGACGCAACAACTATGCATTTCTATAAGCACTAAATAATTAGTTGTTAGGATTTGTTGTTTATTTATTGTGTATCTACAAATACGTAGAGTGTAAGCAGAGCGTCCATTAATCAGGAAAATCAACTACATTCGGACTCCGCACAGAATAATTTCTCGTGGTAATGATGTTTTTCTCTCTCTATCTCTGATCATCAACAACAACATCAAGTTTTTATCCCGCTACGTGAGGTCGGCTATATGATTCATTTTCTCCATTGTGTGTCCTATTAAAAGTCAAATTCTCATTTAAATATAATAAAAAAAGATTATTTCTTATATTTTCTAATCAAGTCTTTTTAGATCTACCTCTACCTCCCCCCCCCCCCCTCTCTCTCTCTTTATTTGATCATATCAAATTATTTTGTCAATGCATGTAATATTTATAAAGTTAAACATAGATAAATTTAATGCAAACTTGTTGGAATTCAAACATAAACGAATTAGGTTCTATTTTCAACCATTCTGATTTATATAGAATTCAAAATTCAAACATTCCTTGGCACATACCGGTCAGCAATGCCTTCCCCATAAGCCTGTTTCACCATGCTTATCTCGAGATCCTGCCGACAACGACCCTCCTTTTCTCCTCGAAAAATTATTAGATCCGGACATCAGACATAGAGATAGGTTCGAACACCAGATGTAGAGATAGGTCCGGACATCCACTAAAAATTTGACACGTGTAGTGCACTTTAGTTGCGTTTTTTTTTTTTTTTGCGTTTTACTTGCGTTTTACCTACGTTTTAGTTGCACTTTAGCTGCGCTTCTTGACTGCGTTTTACCTGTACTTTACCTGCGCTTTAGTTGCGCTTTAAGTGCGCTTTTTTACTACGGTTTGACTGCACTTTACCTGCGCTTTAGTTGTGCTTAGTTTAATGTTCCGCGGACACATTAAACATATTAAATATCCACGTGTCGACATTTTATTGACTTCTAGACCTATCTCTACGTCCGATGTCCGGACCTAATATTTTTCCCTTCTCCTCACATGTTATGAATGCATTGTTGTCAGCAAGTGTAATAACCAAAGTTTCATATTATATTACAAAATTTTACTTAATTAAATTATCTCCTAAATTATTAAGTTTTATTAAAATTTTGAACAAGTTTGTTTTCCTAAATGTTTAATATATAATTACTTTTAATTAGTATTATCAATTAATTTCTATTAATAAATAGATTATTGTTCAGTTAATTGCTATTAAAAGTTAATGTTAAATCAGTAATGTTTGTTAATGTTTAATTAAATTATGTTAATTAGACTTTAATCCTAATATATTAACTAATACTATTCCCGTACTCCACTACAGCACTAATACTTATCTTAATTATTATCTGCTTCCACTCAACCACCTCTAAACAGGAGTGATTATTCTGTCCGAACATCGAACGTGCCCAGAGACCAATAAAAATGCGCCACATCATTAGGCGCTAGGTACCGCGGTTGGTACTGTGTCCAGACACAATAATTTGTCCCTAAACAGTGCATGCTTCGGTGGATCGCGATTAGATGACAAGGAGGGTATTAGGCATTAGTTAAATTAGAGAATTCTGTGATCGAGAGAGTTCTGTTTGCATTTGGAGCAGAGGCGGAGCGGAATTATAGTGAGGAAGCAATTGCCTTGAAAGAGCGGCAAAAGGGAACTCAATGTACTTCAATGGAGATAATACCGGACTTATCTCGACTTCATTGAATATTATTATGAAAACTATAAAAACTAACTATATGAAAAAGTTTAATCGGAACCTTAGATAGCTACTTATGATATTCTACACAGTCTTCAAATAAAATAAAATAAAAGATTATACTTGATATGTTTTAAGTTATTTTCTAATTACCTTATGAATTAATTTAATCATGATTTCAATTAAGGACCTTAAATGTTGAATGTTAAGAAGTTTATGTTGTCACAAAATAATTTCTTTTTACATGTGATGCCCTTAACAAGCTTCGTCGGTCATATAATGCCTACTTCAATGTGCTTCATTGATGCCGCATGTGAGCCCCCAATAAACTCTCATCATGACTCCATGGTGCCTACTCTAATTAGCTTCACTGAATATGTTCGAAGTTGTTCCAACAAAGTTTGAATTTAGATTTGATTTGAGGTTCAAATTTGAAAAAGGCCGGCTTTTTCAACCTAGACTCGACCCGTGCGGGTTGCCGGGTTTTAAATACTCAACGGCGGCGCAGTAGCGGAAGCAGCGGCAGCACGCGTCGTAGGCAGAGCAGTGGGAGTAGCGGTAGCACGCATCGCCGCTTTGGGTTCGGGACGCGCTGCGGAGTCGAGACGCACGTGCACGGCGTGCGCTTCAAGCCTTCGACGCTTCATCGCGACGCTTCGGACTTTGGGATTTGACTCGCATCACTCAACGCTTCAAACTTCGGGCGGTACTCAATGCTTCGGGCAGCACCACGCAGACAGCACACGAACTCGGGTTCAACCAGGCAGGGCGGGCAGCAGACACGGGCAGAGGTTTTTTTGGTCATTTTTGGGTTGCCGGGTCAACCCGAACCCGACCCGTTTCACAAACTGGTCGACCCAAACCCGGATTTTTTGGGTCGGGACCGGGTCGGGTTTCGGGTCATGTCAAAAATTGACACCCCTACATTAAATAATCCTCAAACATAATAGGTAATAATTGGTTTGAAATAAACTTTCGAGTTCTTTTTTATTTTTCAAATAAATGAAATAGCAGGTATGTTTATCTAAATTCAAGCATTATGGGGCATAAAAAGTCAAAATTCCCTTATGAATTTTGCAGGGATGATAAAGAGACAAAATTATTTTTTTAGGTGTTAGGAGGGAGAGAAAATGATTTTATTTAGGTATTATCATGGACATAAAATAGATTTTATGATCTAATATGGATGTAAAAACATGAGAGAGAAGATAAACATGGTTATGAATTATAATTTATACCATTTGAAGGAAAGAATTTCCTATCTAATTAAAAAAAAAAAATCTTAAAGGATAAAAATTTGAGTTCTATATTATGTATTAAAGTATAACGACAGAAAATATTAATTGTAGATTGCTTTGACAATATATTATAAATTTATCAACCAAATAATATTTTAATTGAGATTTAGGCTTTGTTTGGGACATCTTTAATAAACTTTTCTAAAACAGCTTCTCGTAAAAAATTTCTCTAATTTAAAACTTTTTTTACTAAAAAATTGCTTTTGAAAAAAAATGATCACAAACGAAGCCTCAAGCCATTGTTGAAACTGAAATATTGCATACCTTTAAGTCCACTTTTAATCAAAATTGAATTGAAACACAATGAGAGTTTTGATTTCAAATACGATGCCTAACATGGCCCAACTCTTCTAAGATTCCACCATCAAACACAACAAAATTTTGAAACATATAGTACAAAATCAGTTGTCAATGTTTTGGTATAGCCATTTTGTTATAAATCTACACATACTTTTTTTTTTTCAACTTATTTGTGTGTTTAAGTTGATGTAAT